CAGTTTCTGCTCGACTTGTTCCTTCTTCATTTTCTGATCCAAATCGCCTAAACTCGGTTCTTTTTCTCAAATTCCCTTAGATTCAGATACCCAGTATGTATACACAAGAATATAACTCAAACAACTCATGGAAACAATATTTAATCCCAAGAACTCCTCAATCTCAACCTAACTCAAGAACGAAAGCCGATTTCAAGAACACCATTCAATATTCATCAACTTTCAACTTGCTAGAATAAACTTCGCTGAAATAAACATGTTTGGCGTGTGGGTAAACGAACCCAATGCTATGAAAGACTCACATACCTCGTAGGGATTAAACCTAGGCGAAATCCACAAGCAATTCTCCACTAAATCGACGAATCCTTGCTTCTTCTCCTCTTCTTTTCTCTTCTCTCAAAACCCTAACTCTTTTGTGAAAGCGTAAAGTGACCAAGTTCAGTTTAGACCCCTAAGTAATTACCAAAAAACGAATTAATTTAATTGGCTATGGTAAACACCAAAATACCCTTCCAAAATCCGATTTAGACTTTCCTTATTTGAACAACGCAACTTCAAATGGGCATATCTCACTCATACAAACTCTAAATCGCGCAAACTCGGTGGCATTGGAAAGATAATTCCAAGATCTTTTCTACGGTATCTGGAAGCACACCTAAATCATCTTGAGATAGGAGTTATGGTCGTTTGAAGTTGACCAAAAACCCAAACTTAACATAACTTGACAAATTTTCAGATTTTTCATTCTTTCCTAAAATGACTATTTCCAATTCTAACTCTTTCTAGTTCTTTCAATTAGTGAAATGTTACAACATATTTATATATTATGCCTTTATTATATGCTAATTTGGGAATGAAATGAGACCATCTAGTCTAAATACGGACTAAAAAAATAAAAGCACAAATTTTATACCATCTTAAAACAACAAATAAGAATAATCAGACATGATTTATACTCCCTCTGTTCATTTTTACTTGTCACAAGTTCACCTGAAATAGCCATTAAAAAAATAATTAATGATATATGCATTGTCTTGAAAAATAATTTGAAAAATAAGTATTCTATGCTGAGGGTAAAACATAGAAAAAAATAATTGTGTTTTCTTGATATGTCAAACGTAACAAATAATTTATTTTTTTTAGGTATAAGTGACAAGTAAAACTGAACGGATGAGTATTTACTAAAGCTGAAATAGAAAGCACTAAAAAAAACAAGAAATGAAGGATTAACAAATAGTGGCATGGATGAGACTTTTTTGAAACGATAATGATATACATGAGTCAAACTTTTAACTGATGACGTAAATAAACCTTTTGTCAAAGTTCAATAACATATGTAAGCCTTTTCCCATAAAAAAGAATAAGACCAAAGTATTGTAAATGGGAAAAGATAGAGCGAGAGTTCTAGATAAGAAAAGAATTAAAGAATCTTAGCTTTAACAAGATTAAGATGATTACGAAGACATACTAATTACTTTTGAAATGAACTACTAATTAATAAACTTTATTAAAAACACTATTTCTTGAAATAGTTTTCTAAATATTCATAAATAATAATCTATATATTATAAACATATAGAAATATATACCTTACTTATTTTATTAAAAAATGAAAAAATTACCTAAAGATGACTTGAAAGTATTTTTGAATTTTATAAAAATTTATTCCAATTTTGAGAAATTGAAAACACTCAATAATTAATTAACACTGTAGAGGGTCAAAATTGAATATCAACGTCTATATAAAAAAAATACACAAAGTATATTATACCTACTTCATGAACAAACTAAAGTTAAATTTACCTCAAATCACAAGCAAGTTTGCCTTATTACATGTCAAGATTATCAAGAGTTTTAATAAATAATACAGAATACTTGCTACTTTATACTATTCATCGGCACCTTATTTGGAATATTTTTAATTTTATAATTCTATATAAGTAATAATAATTGAAGAAAAATCTTAAATCAATTTTAATAAAAAAAAATTCCTAAACCAAAGTGAATTTTGAGCCCAGACAAAGAAAATGTATTCCGTAGCAAATTTTTAATTGACATGACAAATTTTTCATTACATGAAATTCTGAAATTGGAAGTCAAATTAAAATATTTATTAGATATTAATTCATGAATTGATCATTTTCCTTTTGGTGTTTTTTTTTTCTATTCAATCTTCTTTAGCTTTCGCTTTTGGGTTTCATTTTTTTAATTATAAAACAATTTATTTTTCTTTGGAATCGAGAACAGAGATAGTTATTAATATCAGAAACATTTTGCGTAACAATAATTCATCGGAATCGAGAACAGAGATATCTATCACTCGAGATATCACTAAACACATAAACTAGCCGATTACATATAATTAGATATCAGATTATGGCTGACAATTACTACTCGAAATCCTAAGTATTGTATACGCTAACAATAATTACAAATATTATTCGTCCGATCCAAATTGAGAAAAGTGAGAAATTGGAATATACTTGTTCATTGACCTTCTTCTCCTTCCCGAATGACGAGCTAAAGTTGAAGCTTCAAATTTTAGTTATTATTTATTTATTTTTAAAGTCTATTCTTTTTGTAGAATTGTTAGCATATTTAAAATTATTTTTTGAGATGCAAGGTTGGTTGTTTTTTTTTTAATGAAAAAAAATAATTTTTCTGTAAATAATACTTCATCCTTTTTATTTTTTATCCCTATTTTGACTTGACATAACGTTTAAAAAAGTAAAAATTATTTTTAATGTCTTAACTAAATTAGATAAATATTTTAATCTTGTGGTTTTAAACATGTTAGGTGGAAAGTTAAAATTTAAAATTGACAAAAAAAAAAGAAACATTTTTTAATGTTTCAAAACAAACTAAAAAAAGTAAGACAAACAAATTGAAGGATACAATTGTTTTTTTCTTTTTCAAAAGAACCTATACTAATTCTATTATTACTTAAAAATGGATCCTCAAAAGAACTATGGTGGTGATGAAAATGATTCTAGCAGGAATTAAAAGATTCTCTATGAATACAAGTTTGAGTTAGACATGCAAAAGCGAAGGGAATATATACTATTTTGTTACCAACAATTGTTAGTTTTGATGAATTTGGAAATTCTTCAATACTCGAACATAGTACTATTTTGTAAAGTTTTATATTTCAGTTTGAATGTTTCTAAATGAGCTCCACAAATGATTTCGAGTTACGACTTTTTTTATTTGAGTTTACAGTAATTGAATAAATATTAGTACTTCAAATTTTAATTAATTCCCATTGTAGAACTAGATCAACTCTATGTTTTTGAAGTATCTCATTCATTTGTATTTAACGCCCTTAAAAGAGATGTTACTGGAACTACATTGTTTAGATCAAGAAAAAAAAAAAGAAGGTTGATGATTCTTTGGGGAGGGGAGCCTTCATTAGGAAATGGTAGATCAGCTAGACAGAGAAATATTGATATGATGAAATTTTTAATATCTCTCATTTTTAGTAAGTGCAACTCCGTGGAGTTGATTAAAATAATACTACTTATGATTATGACTGCGTACACAACATGTTCACCAAATCCCACTTGTGGAATTACAATTATTATTGTTGTTGATCGATAACTTAATCATGTTACAGGTTGTTCGGAAGGAAATACTGAAGGGATGTAAAATCGTCTTCACTGGTGTAATTCCCATACAATGCCAACCAGAAAATCACCACTATTGAAGACCTATGGCATGATTTCAACTTTGGAGTTGTTTTAGCCCTTCAAAAATCTAATGAATGGACTATGAAGAGGTTAGTTAAGCTATTCGGATTTTAGATTGGTTCTTGCTTGCCTTCTCCATCATAGTCCACTAGTGAGTAGACTTTTATACATAACTGATTATCTTTGGACAACATTGTTTTTTTTTTTCACTTTTCATTGTACACGATAACTATTTGTTTATATATTGTGTGAAATCCAACTAATAAAAAGTGTATATGAATTAAATTCAAGAAAATGGTTGTTCACATAAGGAACAAATATTGTTACGGATTAACTTACTTGTGGGAACCTTTTGACCGCCCAATGACCTATAATACTAGAATTCCTGTTAGATGAAGGCTTAGGGGAAACCTTTTTTATAGTGTACAGAACTAGGATGCTAAGGCCTTTGTCAACTCTGATTAGTCTTTCAAGTGTCTTTATTTGTACCCGTGGAAGTGTAGCATTGAGGTGAGAAGTGAGCTAGCTAAATGGGGTCCTTTCAGAACTACTTTTTTTTAAATTGAGATTCAAGTTCATAACGTTGGTTGAGCATAGAAGCTAATAGATCTTTCAACTTAGAATTAGTCAATTTTTATTTTCCAATGCGACAAGAAGGGATATGACTTATCGGTAGAGTGTCATCGATCTGAACCTGATTTATTTCACGAGTCAGGTCTCGACTACCTGCGCCACGAAAAAGAACAAAAAAGTATCCGACTACTTTATGCACACACTTTCCTATACTTCTCCTAAGTGACATCAGAATACTCTTTCGAGTGTGTTTTTGAACCAAAATGTTGATGTCAGGGATATATGTGGGCTAAAAGGTAGATGACTGATAGTTTTATACTAATTCAACAGTTCAAGGGAATTCTAAGCCCTTCTCCGTTTGACAAATGACACCAAATTATGCCTCTAGAAAAGTGGATAGGACTAGTCATTTGTAGCCCAATTGAATGGATTAGTTCAATATAATTGAACCTTCAATTAAATCTATATTTATTGGACTTGAATCATTAGTTATATTGACACGCAATATTTATTGAAACTAGTATATCTTGACTATAAGTCAAAATATTTAGGATTTCAATTTAACTAAGTTTTGCCGTCCAGAGTACTATAAAACATAAAAAAGATACTACATAGTCTAAACAACATAAAACATTAAAAAGATAGAGTGCTACATATATAGTCTAAAAAACAAAATGAAAGATGCAATTTCCACTTGAAGAAACAACTTTATCTCCATAAAAAGCCTCAGACTGCATTGGATCATGTTGAAGAATCATCAGGAAAACTTGTTATATCTGGAAATTGAACACTCGATGTCACCTGCATATAAAGATATAACATCAAATTTAATTTGTTTCTAAAAAACTACCATCATGACAAATGTAGATAAATAAATAGTAGCATAGCAACCAACATAAATAAAGTTTAGAAAGAAGCAGTACTGACCATATCATCAGAGTAAACTTGATCAAACAAACTGTCATGTTCATTGGGTAGGTCAAAACTTGGAAGTTCATTATTCTGATAGAAGAAATCCAGATTATCGAAATCAAAATAAGCATCAGTATCCATCATCTCACTTGACTCACTTCCTTGAGTATCACTCACATGTGATGTTGTGACAATATGTTGAGCCATGTTTTGTTCACCAATATGTTGTTGAACTCCCAATCCATCAATTGTCGCATTGGAGATATTTGTATCAGCTGGCACTGTTGCATATGTTGCTACATCCAAGGCATAGTCATTTTGAGTATGATGAATCCCATTGTTAAACTCTAGCCCAATATTTGATGATCCTTGCAACTGATCACCAATATGCTGCTGAAAATTAGTATTTGCTACTCCCAATCCATTAATTGTCAAATTTGCAATACTTGTATCTGGCACTGTTGCTACATCCAAGGCATAGTCATTTTGAGCATGATGAATCCCATTGTTAAACTCTAGCCCAATATTTGATCCTTGCAATCCCCATAAAGGTCCCTCCTGTTGTTGTTGTAGCCCTCCTGAAAAGTTGAGGTATTGGGGATCAACATAGACCTCCTGCAAAGTTGAACTCTCAGCTCCTCTAGCAAAGTTTGGTAGAAATGGAGTTTCTGGGCTTCTTTGGGTTTCTTCTTGTTGTAGATTTGTAACATTCATTTTAAGATGAGACGACGTCGTCTCAAATATTCCAAGGCTACTAGATTTTCTCTTCCTTGGAGCTTTCCAAGTATTGTTACGACATTTCTGTAAAGCGTTAAGAAGAAGAAGAAAAAAATATTATTAATTATTTGTTTGTGTTTGATATAATAGGTTAACAATAAATATCTCTCAAAAAAGATATATAGATAATGATATTATTGAGTTGAATTAATATTCTTTTGATAAAAGTTTTAACTACTACAGGTTTATATTAATGTCATTGGCGAAAGTGATATAAAATCTTATTTTATGAAAAATGACTTCCCAATTCTTTTTTCCATAAAAACATCTTCTTGGTTTTTCCTTTTACCAAATACACACAAATATTACATACATAATTCACCAATTAGAAAATTTGAGAAATGTACCTGCAAGTGACTAGCTACTTGATACCTAGTAAGACCAGGTACATTCATCGCCTCAAGAATATCACTTGGAAAACATCCTACAAAACAATTCATAACAATGAAAATTCACTTTAATTTAACATATATTCCTAATTAAGATAAGAAAGATGAATTAAATATAATTATTAGTCTGAGCGTCTTAATTCCAAGTAAGTTGACCACGACTATAAATATGAAGTAATAAATAATTGTGAAGTAAACTTACTGCCATCATTGAGTTTGTTCACAGCTTCTTGAAATTTGTCATGAAGATCCACAGTCCATATGATGCGAGTCTTTCGTCGAATAATAACCTTGGTAGCGCTGCTTTGACTCTTTTCCTCTTCAGTCAGTTTTCTACCTTTCTTTCTCCTCAATTTGCGCTTTTCATTAGATACAACATCATTTGTGGTCTCATGGATATCATTGCCTTGCTCATCTATATTAATAGGCACATTATTTTCCTCTACATGTTGTTCTTCATTATCTCCAACAATTTTAATGTTGTCAATGACATCAATAGTCTTTCCCTCTTGTATATTCTTTTGCAATACAAGTTGCCACATGTAATTCACAAATCCTTGGTGAAGTGGCTTTTGCATGTAAAAATAAGCACCACTTTCAAAAGCTTTCTTTGCTGAGCGTACATCGTATTCATCACAAATACCTGCATTGTTATTTTAAAAAAGCTAGCAATTAAAATTAAATTATATTGTAAACATTATGTAAGGGTTAATTTGGTTTTTATCTATTATAACAACATATATTCTTACTAAAAGTAAGAGTTGGCATAATAGATAATTTATAACTCTAAATAACAAATTAAAATTCATAGCTAATCCTTCTTGATGACATATTACCAACAAAATCTATTTAGCTAAGGGTTATTTAGAGATGATAAATTAAAGACATATTTGATAATTAATTTTTTTAATAAGTATATTAAATGTCATAAATGAAGAGTAAAATTAAATACTTACAAATTGAAACTATATCCAAGGCTACAGCTTGATCCAAAAGCTGAAATGAAAGCAAGCCGGCTGAATTCATATTGATAATCATTACATCAATTTTTTCCTTTCCTTTGGAGAGCATTGACATTCCTTGTGATGCCATATCAACTGTTCTAACTGTATCAATGCATTTTAAAAATCAATGAAAAAAACACGAAAATAAATTATATACAAAAATTTATTTATTTCTAATAAGAAAATTTAACTATAAAATAACTAATAAAATTCTAGATACATGTAGTTAAAAGAATGAAATAACAATAGTATATTGAAAAATAGTAAAACTTATTTATATATATATATATATATATATTTTGTCTATATCCCATAAAAGACAAAAAGCTTTTTATCTGAAAGTCAATAATAGTAATACTTAGATTGACTCTAATCTGTTTCTTTCTTTCTCTTTCTTTTCATTGTCCTAATCTTTTGCTGTTACTATCTAAATAATTTATTTCTTTAAATTATAAATAAATTTGTAAAAATCACAGATATAAGCCTTAATTAAAATTTACATTTGAAGAATTTAATTGATTTTCTCCTTCCACTCTTTGTTGCTCTAGATCAATTAATAAAAAATATTTTTTTTCTCTTTTTCTACAAAAAAAAATCAAGAGTTAAACACACATCTAAGTTTATTAAGTAGGTAAAATGATCAATATAAATTATGCCTCCTCTAGGATATCAGATGAAATTGAAATGACAAAAAAATTAATATAAACTACCATATCCGTTAAAAATAATATAGATCTCTACAGAGAAAACTAATCAAGTATGTGACAAGCTTATGAAAAATCTAAAAAAGAAAATCATTTATCATCTAGTAAAAAAAAACATAAACAAGTTTTAATTAAGTTATCGTTCTAAATTTTACTTATTGAGTTCAATATATCTTAATAATTTTAAAAAATTAAAAGTGAAAGTATTTTTTGTCTACATCCTAACAAAGACAAGAAGTTTTTATGTCAAAGTCAACAACAATAATAATAGTAATAATTGACTCTCATCAGTTTCTTTCTTTCCCTTTCTTCACATTGTTTTTATTGTGTGCCTTCACTATCTGAATAATTTATTTCTCTAAAATATAAATAAATTTATAAAAATTAAAGATCTAAGCCCTAATAAAAATTTGTATCTGAAGAATTTAATAGATTTCTCCTCCAACTCTTTGTTGCTCTAGATCAATTGACAAAGAACATTTTCTTCTCTTTTTCTACAAAAAGATCAAGAGTAAAACACATATATGTAAGTTGATTAAGTAGATAAAAAGATCTGTATAGATTATGTCTCTTCAAGGATATCTGATAAAATTGAAATTAAATGATAAGAAAATTAATATAAACTACCACCTTCACTAAAAATTATATAGATCTCTACAGAAAAAACTAATCGGGTGTAACAATTATAAAATAAATTACAAAAAGTCATTTAGTAACTAGTAAAAAAAATATAAACAAGTAAAGAAACAGTGTTATGACAATCAGAAAAACAAATTCAAGATCTAAAAAATTAATGAGATCTAAAAGGCTACTGATACAAAATAAAATAAAAAATAAGATAACAAGTATCATATCAATAAAATCTATTATGAAAATAAAACATATCACACAAAATTAAGTTCTATATGTATTTTTTGGAGTAGTGCATATTTACCTTTATATTCGCGAGACTCGAGTAAATAAATCATCTCACTGACAAATTTTTTATCATCATCAATCAACAACACAGAAACTTCATTTATCATTTTATGATAAAAATCGGCCATTGAATTCTCTATCATTGAAAATTTTGTTCTGTAAAAATAATAATAGTAAAAAAAAAAAAACGTTACTTTAAAGGATGAGATTCAAGAAATAAAAAGAACGAAGACCATTTTTATATGTCTAATGTACTTTTTCAGTTGAAGAAGCTCTAATTTGGATTGGTTTCTTTCTTTGAGACATGTATATATAGCATCCTCCCCAAGTTAGTATGCATATTAGTGTAACAATATCAATAATTATGTTGACCATTTTTTTTGTTTTTTGAGTCAAGACAAAAGTATAGTTTTGTCTCTTTATTTTTATTTTTATTTTTTCTTTTCTTTTTAGGGACTTAATATGAAACAAAATATTTTTTTTGATAAAATCATTTTTCAGTGTTTAGTTACTTAAAAATATGTTCTAAAAATATTATAAATTATAAGAAAAAAGGACATCTGTCACTTTTTAAGGAATCTAATAGGAGTGAGTTATTTTCTTTAAACAATATTTTAATTCTTCATTTTAATTATTTCAATCGGTACTTATGTATATTAAATGTTCAAAAACATCATAAAATCATTATTTCTCTGTCATATCTTTCACATTGTATTATTAATTACGAATGACATTTTTAAAATCATTAAAAAAAGGTTAAAAAAAAAATTATTCTCTTATATCAAACACAACCTTAGTGATTTTTTAATAACATATATCTAATAAATAATATAAAACCTCAAAAAAATCTGAATTTATAATTATTCTACTTGTTACCATTCATTGGTCCATTTACCAATATTCGAACATTTAAAATTACTTTTTCTAATTTTATTCTATATTCTTCTTTTTTATTCAATTGAAATTCTGATATATATATTTTTAAATATGGAGAAAATTCTATTGGGAGCATCACCCTCGAATGGACTCCGCATTGTATAATTTGTATTTAATCGGAGCTCCAATGCTAACTCTTAACACCGGATCAAGTGGGAAACCAAAAAATAAAATGAAAACTAAACAAAAAATGGAGAACAGTTGGGTGAAAATAAGACCAAAATTAATGCAATTCAATCTTTAAAATGTTACATTTAAAACAACCCACACTATTCATATTTAATACAGACAGAAAAAAAATTGTCAAATTTATCAGTTACACTTTTGTTTTAGTTTTGACTCTCTTCACATTGGAATCCCATCGTCAAATGTTATTAATTTCAATGGCAAATAAAAATTAATGATATTGCCACATTTTTTTATTTTTAATAATTATTTTATTTATTTAAAGTCAAGTTAAAGTAAATATCATATTTTTAATTAATTATGTTTTTTCTAGTATGTGTGTGTAATCATACAAAAATTAATACGAAAGTTCTTTCACTTATAATGACATATATTTAATAAGGTTGTAATTAAGTCATTGTACTTTATTTTACTTACGGAAAAGGGTCATATTTGCTCTTCTACTCTTAGAAAAGGGTCATATTTACCCTTCGTCATACTTTTTTGATACATTTTTTTGAATAACAGCCACAAGTATACCTTGACTTGATTAAAATTCATTTTTTGATATTTTTCCGAATTACAATCATAAACAAAGCAGCCGAAATGACCGCTAAGGTGATCTTGTCAAAACGCCCTTTCAAGTATGTGTGCTTGTGGACGTTTTGGTAAAACTTTTGCTTCTCAACAAGCTTTTCTCTAGGATAAAAAGGTGATTCTTCTGAGATCTTGTAAAGCTACGGAGAGAAAGTTGAAGGCCATTGTCTCTGTATTATTATGTTTTGATGGCTAAATTAATGTGAAAGGATGGGTATTGAAATCGGGTTAATGGGTCTTTATTTTGGTTAGGTCGAATTTTACTAAATGGGTCAGATAGAATACTAAATAGAAAATAAAATTTTAATTATAATAAAAATATATACACATGGAGCCATGTAAGCGCCATGTAGGCGTCACATAGACTTATAAAAATGGTGACACAATACTTAACTGTACAACGGCAAATATGTGCCTAAAGGTGGATGGTAAGGGCAAATATATCAAAAAAGTATGACGAAGGGTAAATATGACCATTTTCTAAGAGTTCAAGGGCAAATATAACCCGTTTCCGTTTTTTTTTTGGGGGGGGGAGGGGGGTAATGTGGTTGGGGTAGAAAAAAAAATAAAAATAAAGTCTTAATTTTGGAAAAACATCTTCCAAAACATTTAAGCCAACCAAACATGAGAAATTGGAAAACAATTTTAAGAAAATGTTTTCCTTCATAATTAATCATCCCTCAACTATGACTCAAATCTAATGTACATCCTTATATTATCTAAGTGAGCAAAGGACATTCTTATACTATCCAAAAATTAACAAGAATCACCCTTCAATCTATTTTTGTCAAGAAACTGATTGAACCAATAAAAAATATATATTTTTTAATTTGGTCATGTCTTAGCCACGGTGAGAAGATCAAAGTTACCTAAAAAGAATAAGGATATGAATATGAAATGAATCTCTCATTCTCGAAATTTAATTTTTGTGTGTTCTTAGTTTTTATGTATTTTGCATCATCAAGTAAATTGACTGGCAACAATACATAAGTCTTGAAATAATTATACAATAGGTTCCGATGGTTAGAAAAATTATTTAAAAAATATTATGCCCAACTATTTAGAGATTGTATTTAATAAAATATTCAGTATGTATGTATGTTATATACAATGCAATTCACATTTTATACAATGTACAAAAATACTGGAAGTTTAGGGAAATTACGTACATGTTTAGTTATGAAAATAAAATAATTGCTTTATTTGAAATTTTTAAAGTTGGAGTTCTATTTGACCATACTTTTTACAAAGAATATTTAGAATTTGAATATATTTTGTCTGAATATGATTTAAACCCTCAATTTCTAAAATTAGAAAAATCACCCAACTCAACTAGCTTAACCATGTGTACATATATTCATTTGACTTGACACATTTTTTTTGTTGGTGGCGTGAGTTTCTTAAAAAAATAGAACAAAAGGATGAATCTTGCAACTTTTTGAATAGTGCAAGTCTTGAAATAATTATATAGTAGGTTCTGATGGTTAGAAAGATTATGTAAAAAATACACTTTAAAAATATTATGCCCAACTATTTAGAGATTTTATTTAATAAAATAGTTAGTATGTATGTACGTTATATACAATGCAATTCACATTTTATACAATGTACAAAAATGCTGGAAATTGAGGGAAATTACGTACACGTTCAATTATGAAAATAAGAAAAAATAATTGCTTAATTTGAAATTTTTGAAGTTGGAGTTGTATTTGACCATACTTTTTAAAAAGAATATTTAGAATTTGAATATATTTTGTCTGAATATGAT